GCCTGTGCTGGTTACCCACACTTGGGAAACAGTTTCTGGTTTTATTTCCTGAGACACCACAGGTGGGGCAGCTTTCTAGGCAGCCCAAGTCCTGCAGAGAGTGGCAGGTGTGCCGTGTATGCTCTCCTGTGAGAATGGTGACCCTTCACACCCTGTCCCAACTTCCTCTGTCTGTGCTGGATGGCCACGCACCAGCAGGGACTCTGAGTCTGGCCCTGGCATCTGCGGAGGCTCTGGGTGGCTGCTGTGGGCATGGCCACTCTCAGACTGCTCCCCTGCTGTGGCGGGTCCGCACCAGAGGGGCAATTGATGGGAGGCTGTTTATTGCTGTGAGGGGCTTCAGAGCTGCACTGCTGCCCAGGGGGTTAGTGCACCCAAAGTTCCCTTGGATTCCCAGCCTGCTGGGCCGAGTGTGCCGGGACGATTCCATCCCACTGTGGAGCCCCTGTCCCTTTAAGACTTTCAAAAAGCACTCACTTTTCTTTTGTCCCAGGGTCACCTGCTGTGGGTACCCGCTCACAGGTTTTACTGTTCCGTTTCCCTAATATCCAGCACACCATGCACTGTGTGTCTGCACTTCAGGTGCAGATGACTTGGGCTGGGTATTTGGCAGTCCTGGGCTCCCACTCTCTTTCCGCTCCAGCTCCTTTCCTCCCACGAATGGGCTGGGGTGGGGGGAGTGCTCCAGTCCCACCCAGTCATGGCTTGTATCTTACTCCCTTCATGAGGTGCTGAGTTCTCACAGATGTAGATGTAGCCTGACTGTTGTACTGTATATTCTGGTCTCTCTTTTAGGAATAGTTGTATTTGTTGTATTTTTGAAAATATATATGGTTTTGGGAGGAGATTTCTGCTGCCCTTCTCATGCCGCCATCTTGGCTCCTCCTCCAGACATACTTCTTTTATTGATTTCTAATTTGAATTATACTGATGACAGAGAATATTGTTTTAATATTTTAAAACTTCTTGAGAATTGTTTTGGTCCAGCATATACTCCATCTTGATTATTTCAGGTATATTTGAAAGGAGTGTATATTCTGCTGTTGCAGTTGTTCTAAAAATGGATGTTGCATTTAATGGTCTACATATTTACTTGCCATCTTCTTGTTCTGTTAGTGAAAGTGTTTAAATGTCTATAACTATGCATTTGTTTATTTGTCCTTTTTGATTATTTATTTATGCTTCATGTATTTCACAATTCTATTACTAGGTGTATGCCATGTCTTCCTGATGAATTGATCCTTTGATTATTATATCTCCCTTTATCATTGGTAATATATCTGATATAGCCATTCCAACTTTCTTGTGATTTTTCCATCATATAGTTTTCTACCCTTTTATTTTTAACCCATCTTAATATTTATATTTCAAATTAGTTCCTTGTAAAAAGCATATAGTTGGTTTTGCTTTTTCATTGAGTTTGGAAGTATATGCCTTTTATTTGAAGTGTTTAGATCATTGATTAATTATCGGTATGATTTGGGTTTAAGTCTACACTCCTGCTATTTTTAATGTATCACATCTGATCTCTGTTCCTTTTCTTATTGCATTCTATTGGGTTGAATTTTATCTCTTTTATTGGTTACTTAGAAGAGATAAAATGTTTCTGTTAATTTTTAATTTTGATATTTAGCAGTTGTTCTAGGGTTTACAATATACATCATTATCACATATTACCTTCAAATAATATTGTATCACTTCACATGCAGTTTAAGACCTTTTCAACATATACTTTAATTCCCCTTCCTGTCTTTTCTACTTGTATCTTTTATTTCTACATCTATTATAAACCACATAATACATTTTTATTAAACAATTATCTTTTTTATTCATGTACTTTTAACGAGATTATTGCCACTGCTTACTTTTTCAACTGAGTTTTACATTAAGTCAATTTCTGTCATGTGGGCATCCAAAATCTGTAATCCAATTTAGAATCTAGCTTCTTAAGTTCTGATTGCTTTGATGAAGAACTTTTACACTACAAACTCATGATCAGCCAGAATTGTAAATATCCTTGCTTCAGTGCAAATATTTTTCATTATACCATCTAAAATCTTGATAATTGTTTCTAATAATCTATTTTATCATGCTTTGTACCTCCAAGGGTTTTCAATGTATCTATCTTGCTTATAAATATATTTATGCATTTTATTTTTATTTACAACTCCTCCACCAACAGCAGAATATACATTCAAGTATACATAGAATAATCAAGATGGAGTGTATGCTGGACCACCCTCATATAAATTATCCAGGATTAAAAAAAAAATCCAGGATTCCTTCACCTATATCCATAGTTGGCTTATCTACCATTCTTTATTTTCAATATGTGAATGCATTTTAGAATTTTATCAGTATACTTAAGAGGTAATGCCTTCACTATTACAACCATTAATATAAATTACCTGATGCAACAAGAGTTGTAGGTAGCTGCACTGTCAGTATTGATAGATGAATGTATAAGCAGGAAGATCTGAAGTAGTATGCAATGAAGATTTCTTTTTTTTGTTGTTTTTTAAGAGAGAGAGAAGAAAGGGCTCTACTAAAGAGTTTGTTAAGTGGCCAAGTTAACGTAACTGTAAGAAAATGTCCTAGGTTATTATTAGAGCCAAAGTATTTTTGGCATTTGATTGTGTTATCCATCCTCTATAACCTTCCATATTTATTATAGTAATCCTAAAATAAAATAAATTCAAGATGTTAGAAAGCCATTTCCAGGACAAAAATTGGTCTATACAGTAGTCTAAGTTTTTGGAAATTTCTAACTCTGTGATAGTATTGGAAATAAATGGGCTGCCTCAAGGAGTTATAATGTTATACTCATAGTTCTACAACTTAACTTGAACAGTTTTTGAAGTCCTTCAATAAGAAAGTAAGATTCAGTTTCAGTTTTTTTGTGTATCTTTACTCATCAACAATTACTGTTCGACCACTGCAATATACTATTATAAAACTAGTCAGGAAGGAAGTGAACTGGTACCAGGATATTCATACTACCCTCAAAATTACTGATAGAAACAAGAATTGAAAACATTTTTTAGAAAGAAAAAATGTTCTGGCAGTATTTATGGGAAATTATGACTATTATTTTATTTTTAAAATGCTCTCTGAACAGTACTAAGTAGTCATTTAACACAAACCACTTCTGATTTTTCATTTAGCTCTGGGCCACCTGCAGCTTGCAGATAGGTGATCAGACACTTTGGTTATGCAAATGTAAAGTATTTTAATTAGTATGATTAGAGAATTCAGTTATTTCTTCTTATGAATCAAGATGAAGTCTTTGATTCTGCAAAAAACTTTCATTATACTTTTACCCCAACCAAAAATTGAGGGGTCTTCAATGTTATTAAGGACATAAAATAATAAACTTTAATATACTTAAAATTTTGGATAGCTATAAAGATTCATTATTACAGCAACCTTCAACAAAAGTATTATGCGAGGAAGAAAGTATCATATGTATATTTCAAGTAGTCAAAATTGAAAAGACAATTACAAGTAGATATTTTCACAACTGAGCACCTTAAATGTTAGATTTATATTCCTCATTTTGTTTCCATTTTCTTTAGTATGATTTCTTTAATTTATAATTTTTAATTTCAGTAAATAAATTATGACTCAATCTCATACTACATGCTATTAGAAAATGCAGATTCCTATATATTCCAAGCATTTGAGACTCTAAATTTTTTTTAAATACTCTTCAGTTATCTTATTTTCTTGAAAAGTACCTAAATATTTTCATCTATGTATACAACTATGCTTAAAAGGATGAATCATCAACAAATCTTTCTACTTGTTTTTGTGTGTTTTTAGTACTTGTTCTGATCATGTATTATCATCTGCAACTAATAATTTGCCTTCTCAGTTGCCTGTTGTCTATTTTTTTCCCTTAGCACCTTATTCTGTTTATTAATGTCACTTACTAATAGTCATATCCAAAAGCTATGTTTCTGTCTGCTCATACTGATCAAAGCTGACTTGCTTGACCCTAATAAATAGCATCTATAGGAGTGTTGATAGTACAGTTATTAAAATCAAAACTATTCACAATATCTAAGAATATAGATAACAGGGACAGAGATTCTCAAACTCTTTACTCTCTCATTTTATACATCTGTTACAAATAATTAAAAAAATAAGATGTTAAATAATTTTCTATGTAAAAAAAGACCTTATAATGAAATAATGATTATAAACAACTTTTAAAACCATATTAATAAAGATTGGTATTTCATTTAGAGAGAAGGCTTTTCCTTATACATTTTAAGATTGAAAATGAACAATATTTAGGCCTGCACCATCTAAGCAATGCTATCTGGCAGAAGCACAATAGAAATTAATTTATCTTAAAGGAAAATAAATTATAATAAAACAAGATTGATGGGATTACAAAATATTTTCATATTTAGGTACATAATCTGCATTTTTACTAAGAATTTGGTTCAAATGAAAAAAGACTATATAATATGCATATTACATGAGCTACTGATTAAAGTTTTTAAATTCTCTTCTCTGTCATTCTCAATTCTTTCTAATGTTACTGTCAGCATCATGAACATTTAGCAGCTAGTGGTCTGGAAAGTAACTACAACCAACCCAAATCTGGCTGTAAACACAAAAAGTATTTTCTATTATTCATACTGACTTTTTTTCTTAAATAAAATGAATGTTATCTCATATAACCTGGTCTTTGTTTAGATAATCCTGTTGACTTATACTTCCTATTTATTCTAATATAGCAAACTAAACAATTTTTAATTAGTTAGGCTGGAAAATTAGACTTTCATTAGAAATAATTTAAATAACTAAACTGGGATACATCAGTGTTCATGAAGGACACACAGTAGTTGATAGCAATCTTAGGATTTCTTAAAAAGTCAAAAGACAAGTGTACAATTATAAAAGGCTTCTCTCTGCACATCCCTAAACCAGTGTATGTACCTCCACTTCCTTGGTTAGGTGAAAATACAAAAGAAAAATACTTCTGAATATTTATTACATCAATATTTCAATTTTGTGAACATACTAAAAGCACAGTGAAGAAAACAACAGTTTCAATAAACTGGCCCCTTAATGCCATCCCATGGAGAATGGCCTCCCATGTATAGAACTGTAGGTATTTTCTAATGTCTACTCCATAATAAAACTGGTTAAACAAAATTTAAATATCAGAAGTTATAGTTGTGATAAAATTTCACTTGACTTTACAATAGAAGTATTGTGTTATAAGAAAGCACTCTTCCACAGTAAATTATATTGCTAATGGCAGCATATAAAAAAAACAACATGAAAACATGACTATTTCTCAAACCAAGTGGCCATGAATGTAGGGAATTATTTATATCAAGATTATATAACTTAAATATACTAGAATATTTACAGTATTATAGAATTCTAAAAAAATCCTTACCTTCATTTCTAAAGATACTAATTTGAAGAAACATTTTGGCTTATACAATAATTACTTTATTGTATAAGTTGATTGCTATCAACTATATATTAACTTATACAATAATTACTTACCTGTGTCTTGTGAAGAACAATCTAAACAGCTGCAGGATTAATTTCTATTTATGTCTGGCCAGAATCAAAATCCAAAACATCACAAACCCTCAATGAATAATTCTCTTGAAAACTTAAAATTTTACAGATAGCCATCTCATTCTAACTTAAGGATGTTTGTATAGTATTTTTTAAAACTAAAAACTGAAACATTAAAAATAATATTGTTTTAAAAATACACAGTTAATATCCTTGTTTTTCCAAACAAAAAATTATAAATTCTTAAACTATTTTTAAGTACTTAAGTTTTAGTACAAAAATCTGAAATCAAGCATATTTTATAATATGCTACTTTTGACTTGAAAAGTAACAGAATGGAAGACCTATTAATTGCATTACATATAAAGATCACTGAGGAATCTTTACAAATTAAATAAAAATTATACTCAATGTTCACCAAAACATCTACTAAAAATCCTTTAAAATCAATATACTACCATTTTAGATGACTTCTGCACTCAGTAACTACAAAAATGCTTTAAATTTAATGCAAAAAGTATTTCTCCTCTTTCCTCCCTTTCAAACAAAAAAATCTCAAATTTTATGTGTGAGGCATTTTTTCTTATATAATCTGTATTTTAAAACCATCTCCAAAAACTAGAAAGATAATCAAAAGTCTTATGTACAAATTTAAAAAATAGCACGTTATTGAAAATAAATAATTTTCTTTTAACCAAAATATCAAGTATTTTAAGCTTTGTGTAACACACACCACGCACACCCCTAAAGAGGAGCAGCACTGAAACAAATAATGACAACAAACAGCCCTCTACACTTAGGGGAAATATGTATACTCTCATTTTTCTAAAAGGCATACATTATGAATTTTTCTACTGGCATTCTTCAATAAAGTTAACAAACATACTTTTTCACCAATTTATTCTCATATTTCCCTTGCATGTAAGAATCTCAAACAAAAGGAAATCTCTTCTATGACTGCAATAGAGACTTCGGAAACTCCTAAAATATATAGTCTTTAGGTAAAAACATCCTGCTCCACTATGTGTCTTATTAATAAGCATATACATCTGAAAAACTATTTTATGGCTTATGCTTGAATTTAATGCATGACCATAGGTCCCAGGGATTGAAGAATCTTATTGGCGGCCAACAGCTCAAGGGATGACATATTCCTGGCATTCGTAATCTCAAAGTTTTAAAAGAAAACTATTCACTGTAGCCTTAAAAAAATTTGAGAGAGTTCTATTTAAAAAACATCCTCACCACAAACAGATGAAAGGGAGACAAATAAGAAAATAGATTGTTTTACACCTTTGTAAACTTGTTCCATTTCAAAAATGTGTTCTTTAGAGCCAGGGAAATTTCCTATACAAATGAAATTAAACATTTGTTCCCTTTGCTTTTTAAAATATTTACAGTACATAAAGCTACAAGCTAAAGATGTACATCTGCTTATATTGCTGGCTAGTGGCATAGGTTAACAAGGACACAAAAGTGCTTATTCAATTATCCAAGCATCTTAATTTATATAGTGAAGTTATTATAGATCAACTATGGAAAAATTAGAAAACATTATTAATGAATGCCAGCCCTTGTATAAAACATCACACAAGATGCCAAGGTACACATTCACTGTGGTAAAAACTGTACATATGTATTCTGTGCATCTTTAACACTACAAAATTTACAATTTTTTCATCTCTCAAAGTTCTGAGTTGAAAAAAACATTATTTTTCTTGTGCCAAAGAAAGGTGATATTAACTAATTGATCAGGTTCATGAAATTTTTTACAAAATGCTTTGTTAAGGACTTTTCATCAATGTCTTTTACTGGTGCTCTCAATGAGAAAAACTCACTGAACTTTGAAGTTTTCAACAGGTATTTCCAAATCTTTGTTGGCTAGCATCATGACATACATAATAATAGTTCACAGCAATAATAGTTCACAGCAATGTGAAATACAAAACTTTCTTCTGCAAGTATATTTGGTCTCAGAGTTAAGTTCATTTCTTTCATCCAGCCATGGTGTCCCTTATTTGATCAACTCGAAGAGCTAGATCTCTGAAAGAGGGGCGCTGATTTACATTATTGTTCCAGCATTCTGTCATAATCACATAAATCTATAAAAGAAAATAAACCAAAATTACAATGAACATAAAGTGCCATCTTTTAATTGGTGGAAGACATGCATTCAGAGCCCACAATTTTCCTACACAGGCATGTGTCATAGCTATGCCTAAAATCTACAGTCATATGAGTATGTCTTTTACATAAAAGTTCAGCAAATCAAATTTTATAAAATGACCTGAAATCCTTGGGTTAAAAAAGAAAGAAAATGACTGTGGATAAAAAATATTTTGTTACCTCATCTGGGCACCCGTCTGGTCTTGGTAATCTTCCGTTATTCTTCAGGAGTTCTATCAAATGAAACACAATCATCTGTCCTTGTTTGTCATTGCCAATCATACGCATAAATTCCTGAAACACAAACCCACTTTTCAATGAGATTTTTTGGATACATTTAATTTGAAGCAAAATTCTTTCTCAACTTCTTCTAGTAAATGGGAAAAATTCAGTATATGTTTTCTTATATGTTTGAAACCTTTTAAAAACATACTTGAACAATCAAAATGTTCCTTTTTAGTCATATTTCAGAAAAGATGGCTGAATGTGGAAACTGCCATGCCCATAACTATAATACACTCAACACAAATCTCTGAGGAGCGCCCAAAAACAGTGAACTCAAAACGTATTATTTACTTAGGTTTTTTGGTTGTTGTTTTAATACAACATACTACATTTCAGCTGAAATAAAAAGTTGAACATAAAAGAGGATATACAAAAAAATGAATATAAAAAGAAAGATAGAATCAATATTTAAGCATAAAAGCAGTGGGGGAGGAAACACTCATGCTAAAAATTCATAAAATTGAGAGTCTGAACTGTAAGCTACAGAAATGTTTACAATAATCGGTCATTTATTTAAGTATAGAGAGCTCTTATAAACTGGCAAAGCATGTGAGGCAACATTGCATGTATACACATACCCCAAATACCCAACAAATATGTGTTCAATCACACTAACAGGAGAAATGTAATTAAAATCAAATAGATACAACTTCTCTCCTATCAATTTGGCAGAACTGCATGAAAACATAATGGTTGATACCATCAAATGATGAAATGTACAGCCTGTGCATTGCTATTGAGAATGTAATCTTGTACATCATTCCTAGAAAGCATTTTGAAGAAAACAAAAACTTTTAAAAGAATTCATAACCTTTCCCCTATAATTAAACTTTTATTCTAAGGTGACAGAGATAAATAAATATTTAAGTTTAAGGATATTCACTATGTTCAGTGAAATGTTACTTAAAGACTGAAAAATTGAAAATAATTGTCCAGAAAGTATATCCTTACGATGAAATGCTACTACAAGTTAGAAAAAAATACTGCATTGAATATTTACTAATATAGGAAAATATCCATGCTATAAAACCTAATGAAAAAGCAGGAAAGCAAACTGTATGGTCTGAACTTCATTTCATAAAAGAAATATTTTTTAATAAAATTTCACTTTTACATATAAAATTAAAAGAAGTCTGGAAGAAAACATACATAATATTAAAGTGGTTATTTCTGAGTCACTGAATTAGGGATGATTCTTATTTTCTTTTTCATACTTCCCTATGAAAAAAAACTACAATGAACAGGAAAAAATTACTTTAAAAAAGGGTTTCAATAATTCCTAGAATTAATGAGTTTATTAGATTTACCAAAAATACTTTTAGAGAATATACTAAATAGTATTCCAATCCTCCCTTCTTAGAAATTCAAGTTAATTTAATGAGTAAGTTTAGGGTTATTTTGTAACATGTTGTCTTACAAATAAGCAACAAAAGACTCTGAAATGAGCCCTAACCTTACTATTATTCATTGGAAAAAGCTTTTCTCATGTTAAAAAAGAGTTGAAAGTAAACAAAAAGCACACTAACCGCTGGTGGACTTTTACTCTTCTCAATATATGTGAAAAGCTCATACAGAACCACTCCAAAGCTCCAAACATCTGAGGCTACAGAAAACTTGCTCTCTGTGAGTGACTCTGGAGCATACCTGTGATGTGGAAAGCATTTAAAACACAATTACTTGAGGTGTCAACTTTTATTTTTACCTGCATATCATTGGATTAAAAAAAAAAGGTGTGCAGAGAAGAGTTAACATAGCTTGCCTGACATAGCATAATAGGCTGCCATTCTCAAAAAGGCTTGCTTGCAATGTTGATACTTGATGGTACCTGGGTACTCAGATTTCAGGAGGGCTTCCACAATTCCCTAGATGTTAGGAGCGGCTCACTGTGCCTCAACTATCAGCAAACAATATGGTTTATACTGAACACTACACTTGCTTTCCTTCAGTCTAGAATTTTGCTATGTGCCAGGCAGAGTGCCTACATGACTAGTCCCAATAAAAACCTTGGGCATTGAGTCTCTCATGAGCTTCTATAGTAGATGACATTTCACACATGGTGCACAATTACTGCTGGGATAATTAAAAGTGACCCACATAACTTTACTGGGAGAGGAGAGTTGGAAGCTTGTGCTTCGTTTCCTCCAGGCTTTGCCTCAGATGCCTTTTCCCTTCTCTGATTTTGCCTTATATCTTTTCCCTGTAATGAATCCTATGTGTCCTCCTCGTGAATCAATGCACCTGAGGGTGGTAGGAATCTCCACTACGCAAAGATAAAATCCAAAATTTTATTTTTGTCTCTAAAGGTAACACCTGGGTTAAGTGCAAAGTACCTTCTAAGAACTAAAAAATAGGCTGCTCTTTACAAATTAGGATTTAAATGAATCAAGATAAGTATTTCTATAAGTGTTTTTATTATGAAATATTTTAAACATACACAAATGAACAACCACGTACCTGTCTCTTATCTAAATTCATTGCCTGCCTTGTTAAATCTACTACACCTCACCTCCAACCCACTGGATTTATGTGAAGTGATTTCCAGACATGAAAATAGTTCAACCATAATTATGTCAGTATATATCTTTAAGAGATAAGGAGTCTTCTTTAAAACACACTCACAATGCCAGGATAAATTACTATTCTGTGGAAATAATGTATTTGTTCTAAATCATTGGTGCTTTCTTACCTAACTTTCTTCCAGACTAATAATTTGCAACAATAGCTGGGATTAGTTGAAAAATTTACAGATAAAAAATAAAATGAAGATAATTAACATATGATCTTTGATTTATGAAAAGCAGTAGCTAAATAATTTATATATTTCTAATATTTCCAATGAATCCCAGAAAAATATTTATAAATTGACAGTTACATTGTTTATATTAGTAATTCTAATTTTTGAGTTGGAAACCCAAAATGTGAAAAAAACACTTAACTCAAGTAAACAAAACCCATCTCTTAACACAAATATGATTCAAACCACATAATCTTAATAGCTATTTCCAGAGATGAATAAACCAGAATTAAAGTCATTTTGTAATGCATCCCAAACCAAAACATTTGAATATAATTTTACCAATTCATCCCTAAGGATGAACTTTTATGAGCTATGCATAAACCTTTTATGAACTAAGGTATAAAAAGAGAAAACTTTGCATCAAAGCACAAATCACCGCAAACAATGTATACTGCATAAAAATTTAGGTTTGTATGCTCCTCACAATTCACAATTCTAACTGAAGATCAAAAATTACCTTTTGTTTCAAATTTCTATAACATATAAAATATTCAGTCAATCCAGATTAAAGCACCATCATGAGTAAGGAAGCTTCAAAGCACAAACTCTGGAATCAGACTACCTGGACTTGAATCCTAGGTTCTACCATTTTTTGACCATGGAACCTTGAGCAAGCTATTTAAAATGTCACATCTCAGTTCCTTTATTCTTAAAATGGAGACAGTACATATTCTCCAAGGGTGATTATAAAGATTAAATGAGATAATTCATGAAATGCATCTAGCCCTAAGTAAGCATATGATAAAGTTTCTGTATTATTGTAAATATATAAATGACAAACTATTAATAGTAAAAATTAAGTTTGAAGCTTGTGCTCCAAAATTTCACTTTATTGTGCTAATATAAACTCACCAGAATATAGGACTTTCACCAGGTTCTTTCACTTTGTAGTATTCTTTGTCTTGTGGCAAGACTTTAGTTAACCCAAAATCCCCAATTTTAACTCTGTTTTCATTCTCCACCAATATATTCCTTGTTGCCAGATCCCTATGGATATACCTTTTTGTACCAAGATACTCCATACCCTATGGATAAAATAAAATTTTTCTTTTAGATAGTATTATAACACAAACAATTTAAATGGTCTTACCTCTATATAATCCTTGAGTTAGCTAAGAAAAGCTCCAAAGGATTTCTTAACAATTACCTCAACATGTTCTCTTCATCTACAACAAACAGCCAGGATATTAAGTACCTTGCATATCTGAGATGTGTACTGCAGAAGTTTGTTATGATCTATCCGTTCCTTATGTTTTTGGAGATAGTCTCGCAAACTTCCATATGGTAAATATTCCATAATTAATCTTAGATTACGCCGGCCTTTTAACATACAAATGGGAACATGTTTTACTTTGCCATATTTTACTAATGAAATATTAGAAAACAACCATACATAAATGACTTAAGGATAGAGTCTAAGATGATAAAACTTGATTATAAATTAAAGGTGACATAGTAGTTAGGAACAGAGGTCTTCTGAATCAAAAGTTTTTTAAAAGAAACTTTAAAAATAATTGTTTTAGTGTTCTGAAACCCTTTATGCAAACCAAAATAAGCTGATGAGAACTTCTTTTTCCTCGTCTATAATGAAAAAGCATCTAATTTAAAAAATATTATCACAGAAAATGTGAGCAAAGACAATTTTTCTTTAAAAGGATATTCTCTTGGTAAGCTTAAGGAAGAATGGTAACCTCCACCCACATGAAGAGAATGACTAACCAAGTAGACAAAAACTTCCTGTAGTTAGAGCCCACAGTCACCAAGTACCATCTCCAGTAGTGGAAGACGCTTTTCTCTCTGGGCACTGACATATTGTAAGTCCAGATCTTGAGACATTATATGTTCCTATTACTCAGGATGCCAAAGACATGCCTTGAGTTTAAAATAGTTTCAATGGGAAACATACCAGCACTGTAGCATACTCCCTTGTACTTTACAATGTTGTCATGCTGCAAAGATTTAAGGATTTCAATTTCCCTTTCAAAGTCTCTGAGGTGCTCTTCAGTACTGTGTTGGAGCTTTTTTACAGCCACCACCTCCCCAGTGTTGTCTTGTAGAGGGTCATACCGGCACATCTCCACACTCCCAAAATTACCCTAAACAACACATCATATTAGAATAGAAATCTAAAGTTTCCTAGACAAATGAATAATAAATTCTAATTATACAGGCAATTTCAGTAGCTAGAATTGGCAGGCATATCTCTAAGCTTACATTAGGCAAGGCAACTTTCAGAACAAGAAAAGGAAATAATAGTTCAACAGGTAGGTAGTAAACCTATATGTTTAATCTTTTTAAAAGGAATTATAGGCTGAAATAGAAAGTTCAAAATGGCATTCAAACAAATCATGAACATTAATTATTAAGACAGGCCAAGGGACAAGCCAGAGTCAAGGCATTGCTAAATTTCTTTCACTAACTTCCAGGCATTTCTTCACAATATACCCTTGATATGGAGCTGGATGGAATAAGGGTCTATTATGGGCTGAATATCTATGTTCCCCCCAAATTCATATGATAAAACCCTAAGCCCAAATGTGAGTGTATTTGAAGATAAAGCCTGTGAAGAGGTGATAATGGTTTAAATGAGGTCATAAGGGTAAAGCCTTAATAGGATAGGGCTGGTGCCTTTTTATGAAGAGGAGACACCAGTGCTCTCCGCCATGTGAGGACACAGGAAGAAGGTGGCCATATGCAAACCAAGAGGAGAATTTTCACCAGAAATCAAACCAGGCCTGAACCTTTTTCTCAGATTTTCCAGCCTCAAGAACTATGAGAAACAAATGTCTGTTATTTAAGCCACCCAGTCTATGGTATTTTGTTATAGCAGCCTGAGTAAACTAATACAACGTCCAATTTATTTGCTCAAGAAAGTAAGAAATTTCTATTCTATGGGGATGTTCCTGTATTTTTTTTTAAGTCAGTCTTTAAAGAAATACACTCTCTTTTTACCTGGGATTTACTTAAGAATTGATAAATGAATATATTACATTTAAAATTAAGTATAAGTTTGGGGCATTCATTAAATTAGTATTTTTGGATATTACTGCACTCTTAAAGAATAAAACAGTGTAGTCTTTGAACTATAAGATTCTAAGTGAATATGTTTTCAGTTATATACATGTAGTCAACTAGGCCATATGTAAGCTCAAAGTTAAATCTCTAATTAAATGGGCTGCACAGCAACATGGGTAAGACCTGGGACAGATTGATTGGAGCTAGAATTTTGGTCCACCACTTCCTCTCTTTGGGACCTTGGGCAAGTCACTTCCCTCTGATATCTGTTTCTCCTCCTTAAAATGGAAAATAATAAAATATGTCTCATATTGTTGTTGTAAAAAATTATCCCAAACATACTTAAAGCAAAAGTGAGAAATAATAAAGCTTTATATTATTTTTTCCTACTTACTTAACACTGTGTCCATTAAATTATTTTTCAGTGCCATTATATATTCCTTGAAAATAGATTTTTAATTATTGTATACTGTCTGATAAATGCATGAATTTTAAAGTTGGAAACAAATGTATAACTTAAAGAGAAATCAAAAATATTAATATATTCATGTTATTTCAATGATACCCAGATATCTGTGTACATCTCTATTAAGGATACATTCTTAAAAGTGGAATTAGCTATTCAAAGGATATGGATATTTCAAAGGCCCTTGATACATGCTGCAGCAGAGCTCTCTTGAGTTAGTAATTTATGTTCTAAGTACTGCAAAAACTGTCAATTTTATCATACCTCTGCCAAAACTGGCCATTGCAATTTTTCTAAATCTTTATCAATTTGATAGGTACAAGTCAACCTCACTGTTTTAATTTGGAATGCCTCTATTTTCTTTTGGAAGAAGTAGGTGAAGGCAAACGGTAAGAATGAAGAGATAGTTTTAGGGTAGAAAACAAAAAGTGTCTATAAGCATTTGGAGTAGGCACCGGAGAAGAAATCAAGTAAGGGAGCATAAAAGAACTACCAATAAAAGACTCTTAAATGACAGCCAATGTTAGAAACCAATTTGCAATGGAGATAATAAACATATATATATGATTTTTTTTCTTATAATTTTTGAGAGATAGAAACACAAGTAGGAAAAAAAAGTCAGAGTTGTATTATCATTGTACAAAGAAATGGCAGGGAAAATAAAACATGCAATCAAGAAAGAGATATAACTGTGAATACCAGTGAAAGCAGAGTTTAAATGGTCTACCAAGAGATCTGCCCAAGGTAGGAAAGGAGAAAGCTCAATCTACAAGGCAGCTAACAACCTTTAAGAAGAAGCAACAGCAAAGGTATCAAAAAGAAGGATTTATGTTTTGAGAAGAATCAAAAGATACAAAATTATAGGTAGGGGGGTTACAAAGTCTGAAATTTCACAAGTAAAATGATTATAAGGTATTAGAGTTCAAAATGAACTCAATATAGACATAGATTTGAGGTAGACAGGTTGAGGAATTTTTAAAGGTATTGAAAGGGTGTCCAAAATAATGGTGAAGATGAAAATAATGAGTACTGAAAGTACTCAAAGAATGTGTGGCATTGACCAAGACATTGACCAATCAAAGATGAGAATAGGAGAGAATAACAGTCATATTCACAGGGGACTATAAATGATGCTGATAGTTTGAAAGTGGTAGCAGCAAGGTCCAGATCTCTATATCCCAGATCTATATCATGGAGGAAGAGGGAATAGAGAATTTCAAAAAAGCTAGGTTTTAATTAAGGTGAAGAGTTAAAGAATAGAAGTATATGTAGGCAGGAGAATAAAGGAAGAAAACAAAGGCACTCATTTGGGAATTAAAGTAGCAGAAGACAGGTTTCATAATATTTTCTTAGCTCTTTTTATGAGTATTAAACTAAAATATACCATTATTTCTTCTGGTTTAAAAAATATAGAAATAATATTATGGTATCAAATGCAGCTAGAAATATCCATGTTAAAGTATCAACAACTGACTAAAGACCATACCATTTTCCTTTAATTTCCTACAAGCTAAATTACTGAGAAATCATTTGGTTATAAATACATTTTGAAAATGCTTTCCTTACAGTCTCGTCAATTTATGTTTAAAATAATTTTAAACTCAAAGAACTATGTAAAAACTAAAAATCAAAAGGGAAATAACTCAGTTGCAATAATAGGGAATGCTGTAAATGAAATATATAGTACATTAAATTTTAAAAATGTTTCAAAATAATACTAATAATGAGACAATTATAATAAATGAAAAATAGCAAGACAGAAAATTAATATATATAGAATGATGTCACTTTTGAAACAGGGTGTTTGTGTGTATGTGTGCAAAGACTAGAATGAAGGAAATGTATCTGTATTTCCCATCTCTACAATAAATGTATTATCACTTTCATAACTAGAAAAAAAGTTACTTTAAGGAAGAAAAAATACTTTGTAATTTAGTTTGATCTTTCCTCCTCAGTTTAAATTTGTGATGTTTTGATTCTTTGTTATGTCTGTTTCTTAGATACCAGTATATATAGCTAAATTATAATAATTATATCCATTGTTTCACTTTAGTATGTGACTTTGTGTTCTAGTAATATGTTAGGGGGCTAAAGAAATGTTTAAGTTAGAAAACAAAAACAAATAAAAACCAAGCTCTAATAAACAACGAAAGACTGATCAAAAACTAAATTGTGTGGAAGATGCAGTAAGTGCTATAAGCTTTCAGAAAAGAGGAATCAATGTCAGCTGGAGACACTTTAGGAAATCTTAATGCCACACATAATGCTAATATGGCCCTTACTATTTAAGAAAAGATTAAACATCAATAATAATTTCTATTTACCTTTTATTCAGGAATATGCTTAGGATAAGATACTAAAGACAGTTTAAAAGTGAAATGATATATATTTTTGGTTGTTTTTAGAAGAGAAAACTGGTGATATAGGGGAGAGATGTATATTTTACAGACATAATTGAGGGTAAGGGAAGGTCTGCTTTTTTAAAAAGCAAACTTACAAGATTTGTTGTATTACTATAAAAATAGATTTTTGTCTAGTTTTAGAACGCTTTAATTTATTCTTTAATATTACTAATTATTTCATCTCATTATCATTATTCTACAATCATTAAAAGTTCTTCACTAATTTGAAATTAAAATATCTTTGTTTTTAAAGGAGCCAATAATTAATGAAGGTGCACACTTTGTTGTCTGGAACATTCATTTTCAAAGACTAGTTGAAAGCTTAAGGTGAAGTGTGTGTGACTGTTAGAGCTACTCCATTACCTCCTAATTTATACTTCCAAATTCATTTCTGCCCCTAAATTAGTCTTTACCACCAATATACATTATTTAAAAAAGAACTGCCTGGATAACAGAGAAATACACAGTATTGATTAACTATCTATTAAGGTACATGAGACAGACGAAACTATTATTAGATTTTAAGGAAGTTCAAATATTCATTATTATTTTTTTTTTTTTTGAGGAACCTCCATACTGTTTTCCACAATGGCTGTATCAATTTACATGCCCATCAACAGTGCAAAAGGGTTTCCTTTTCTACGCAACCTTACCAGCCCTTGCTGTCTTTTTGTTACAGTCTTTCTGACAGGTTGTGAGGTGATGTCTCATTGTGGTTTTGATTCACATTTTCCTGATGATTCGTGATGTCATGTGATGTCAAACACTTTTTTATGTATCTGTTGGCTGTCTTGTGTGTCATCTTTGGAAAAATGTCTATTCAAATCTGCTCATTTTTTATATTGGACTTTTTTCTTGCTATTGAGTTGTATGAGTTTTTAAATGTATCTTGGACATTAGCCTCTTATCAGATACATGATTTACAAATATTTACTCCTATTCAGTGTGCTGCTTTTTCATTTTTATTTATTTTATTAAGGTATAATTGATATACACTGTTATGAAGGTTTCATAAGAAAAACAATGTGGTTACTACATTCACCCATATTATTGAGTCCCCTCGCCATACCCCATTGCAGTCACTGTCAATCAGTGCACTAAAATGCCACAGAGTCACCATTTGTCTTCTCTGTCCTACACTGTCTTCCCCGGGATCCCTCAACACCATGTGAACTAATCATAATACCCTTCAATCCCCTTTTTCCTCCCTCTC